TTATAAATCGAGTAAATCCTGTTCTAAACCTTGTTTGGATGTGCGCTAACTTGCACGTGGGATAAAAATTTCAAGCGAAAAAATCATTGTGATCAAAGCAAAAATGGAGCAGTTCTCTACTCCACAGAAAATTCAGATGGTGTTAGCTTACGGTGAAAGTCGTGAAAATTTCGCTGAGGCCCATCGCATTTATGTTCGAAAATTTCCTGGAGAAAGAGCGCCTTGTCCTAAAACTTTATATCGAATAGTTACAAAATTTCTGGAATGTGGTAACGTGGAGGAAAAAAAGCGAACACGTGCAAGATCGGTTACGAATGAACAGAATCAAACAGCTGTTTTAGCAGCTGTAGATGTTAATCCTCATGTAAGTTGCCGTCAATTGTCAAAAGATTCAGGCATTTCAACAATTACATGGCGATGATTTCAAAAATCGTGTGCAATTTTGTACTTGGGCTATGGAAAAATTAAGATTGAATGAAAATTTTTTCTTCGATGTACTATTTTCCGACGAATCCTCTTTCACCAATCACGGCCAAGTAAATCGTCATAACATGTACTACTGGTCACATGAAAATCCTCGTTGGCTAAGACAAGTTCATCAAAAACATTGGTCAGTTAATGTTTGGTGCGGCATTGTTGGCAATAAAATAATTAGACCTTTTTTTATTGATGGCAATTTGAATGGCAGAAAGTATCGGAATTTTTTGTTGAACGATTTACCGGTTTTGTTGGAAGACCTTACTCTGGAGCGAAGACTTGCGCTATGGTATCATGATGGATTTCCATCTCATTATGCTCTAGCCGCGAGAGAAGTTTTAGACGAAATGCTTCCTGAAAATGGATAGGATGTACTGGACCGGTGAATTGGCCAGCTAGATCACCTGACGTAACATCTCCCGATTTCTTTCTTTGGGGTTACTTCAAAGAGAAAGTTTACAACCAGGTTCCAACAACACCAAACGATATGAAAAGCCGTATCAGAGCAGCTTGCCAATCAATAACTGAAGAAATGCAATGTACAGAGAACGTTTTCAATGAGTATTCAGAAATGTTTAGAAGTGAATGGTCATCATTTTGAGCATTTAGTCGATGTATAAAGGTAACTTTATAAATTTT